GGATTCGTGTGATGGTAAGCCCATAACAAATGATTCTTTACATCTGGAGCATGTAATGTGATGTAAGAGGGGGTGGACAAAATAACAGAAACACCTCATACAAAGGACCTGGTAAGGAGTACGGCCTCCCTTCAATCCGCAAAATACTCTCATACAAGTCCAGAGCTGCGTGCAGTGGGACATTCGCCTACCCATCAAGAAGAAAAATTTCCAGTCCTTTGAAGGATGAAAAAGGTTTGAATCTATTTTTCTACTATGCACTCCAGAATTCTAGGGTGTTCAAGGATATTGAGGTTTGGTCAATGGGAAGGTCATCAAAAGCATTTGACCTAATCTTGTCATTGTAGAAACCATTCCTGAATCGGTTAAGCAGCGTGTTCGGGGCATTTTCAGCTTGGAGTGGGAGAACATTACGAAGAAACATTGTTTTTACCATAGGCCTCACTCTGGTCCTGTACAATACGCTTGTGGGAGTTTTACTTTCTGAGGGCAGAAAGAAACATGACTGGCTATCTCTCTGAACTAATCAGATTTTAGAGGAAGTGGATCCAAGTAACTGGGTCAAGACATCTGATTCGTTGGTCCTGCCTCCTGTAGTTGCTTGGACCCACCTCCTCTACAATGTGATTGGTTATCTCTATGAACCAATCATTTTTCCTTCTACCCTCAGAACATTTTTTGTATAAGTAAAACTCCCATGAGCGTATAATGGCCTCATGTCCCTTGGCCAATACATACTCAGGGCTCCAGGTTTTGTGCTCTTTACACTAGATAATGTGTCTTTGTGAACTGGCCTTGGCTACTAGCATTTTTCAAATGGCAACCATGCCACAACCTGTGGCTTTGTAAAGCTCACAATGTACAGCTGTTTTTGATACTGAGTCACAAAGATTTGGTCGTAAGGAGGTAGTTTTGTGGAGTTTAGCAGCTAGCCTATTATCCGTTTGCCTGTCCCGCTCTGTGAGACTCGACTGCTGACTACTGATGTAGTTCGTCCTGGGTGAGCATATGCGGTCATAATTTTATTGGTATTTTGACTTGTTAGTTGGCCTGCATTGGTAAGACAACTCACATCCACTGAACGTGTGGATCGGCAAACCTCTTTAAAGCTGAAACATACTGCTAGTTAGGATACAACTTAATACGACTCACCTGAGCACCTGTCTATAACTGCGATTTAGTTATTTCAACGTTAGTCATTTATACTTTGTGTTTCCGTTATTTTGTCCACCCCCCATATCTCTATCAAGTTTCCCCCTAAAAATCTAAAGAGAAACTGGAAGACTTATGCCCTCTTTGCTTTACCAAAAATTTACCAAGCAATTTTATGCTGTATACAAATAAAAACGTTAAACATTTTATTTACAAAACAAAATGGGCAAGTGCAAAACAACCTAAAAATATCCAGCGATTAAACTCATCACTGTAAGTATTCTTATATCTATTTTCTGACATCGCTTTTATATAGTTCAAGGATAAAATCAAGAGAATTAGATATTACCAAATGAAAAAGTTACTGTTTGGGGAACAAAAACAACAACAACCAGTAACAGTTACTGGGAAAACGACCCAGACTTTGCTTGGGAATTGTGCCATTTAATTACTTGAGTTCATTTTAACACCATAAAGGTAGATTAACAGCCACAAGTGCTGCCCAGGATTCAGACTGCCTGACCCAGTGACTTCAGGCACTAAATTACAGAGGAGGTGCATAGCTTACCAATTAAAGGAGCAGACTGGCCTTCTTGAAAATGATCAAATCTTCCTTAACCCGATATAATTGTTGTTTTTTATAGATAAATTTCCATTACAACACTGAATGGACTGTGCAGTTTGCATCACTTAACTGGTACTCCAACATAAAAAAGGTTCTTGTTAAATGTTAATTAGTTATTAACCACTCACAAAGTCATGCGCTGACAGTGTCATCGTGACTGATTGGGCTAAAACAGATGCACCAGGTAATATCTGGACACCTCATTCTGCTGGAAAAACCCACGTGTCCCCGTCCTCGATGACGCAAGACGACGTCATAGCAGCTTTTAATTGAGCAATGGTCCCCCCCTCCATTTACCAGCCGACAGCAGGCAACGTGGTAGCATTACTCTATAAACTAACCCTCCACACAGAACGATCGATATTTGGTCCCAGTGACACACGTTTGACAATAATCAACTAATCCTTTATGACGCCCGCAGATGGAGGTGAAATGCAATATCTGAATAACTGTAATGATAAATAGTGTGAACAATTGCAGTTTTACGTGAAATCCAAAATGAACAACCAAGGACAAGTCAAATTCCATTCGAGATCTAAATCTAAAATTTAGTTCCTGACGCCTAGACGTCCAGCAGTACAGACTGCCTGGGACGACTGGCCAAGAATATTTTATCGTGAGCTAATCGTCTTATTTTATTTTAAGCCGTGAGTTAAAGTAAACGCACGTTGCCGGCGAATCATGTGGAAATTAGGGAAAGACACCCTGTCCTATGTAACTATTTTTCACGCTACCATAAACCCCGGACACCAAACTGCGTAGCTATGTCAGTCTAAACACTCTACCATCTAATCGTTGTATCCCTAAAAAACGCCTGTGCCTAAACAGCTGCTGCTCTTACCCCCCAAGCGGCGGTTCATCTCGGCGTCTGACAGCGGCGTCGTCCACCTCTATCGCAGTCCGAAAGTCCGCACCTCGGAGCCGATCCGCCCCCTCTCCTTCAGGGCAGCCAGCAACTGCACATCGCGGCCATGTGCCGATTCCTTCCGTCGCAGCAAACGCACATCATCACAGTCGTAACACCGGCGATCTCGCCAGCCAGCTGTGTGTTTGTATGAATCATAATGTCACGAGTTATCCTCTCGTGTTTTATTATCCTTATCTAGTAGCGAGATGCACCTCTAACAGTCAGCACTCATTACAGGTCTTTTTACGATAAGGTTTACAGCATTCTTCAGCTATTATTACGGCTCTTTTTATGATTAGATTGCAGCAATTGCTTTGATTCACCTTGGCTTCAGTGTTATTACCTAAAGAAAATTAAGGTGAGATTTATTAAGGAGATGTAAGGACATATAGATCAGGTGACCATACGTCCCATTTTCCCTCTTTTTGGGGACCTGAAAATACCTGAAATATCAGGAGTTTCGCTTGCTTTCATGTTGACATTTGCTTCCTACATTCAATATACTTATTGTCTGCATATTTGCGTCGCTTTAACGCCTCTCTTTGCGTCCTGCCCCCGGTGTTCTCATTTTTGCAAAGCAAAATCTGGTCAGAAGATGAAAAACAACGCATTGATGTCTAAGAAGACCATGCTAGCCATAAGTATGAACTATGGTAAAATTTCTGTAACTGAGTATTATTGACTGAAAAGCGTATACGGATTCCCATCTGGTTAGTATCGGAGTACGAACTGTATAGGTGATACAGGCGGTGTTACAGCTGTCATTGGTAACTAATGCGATTTTCTTCTATAGATTTGCTAACTTTTTAACAAGTTTCCAGGAATCCTTTATCAGGCGCTTTATGACTTCTTACGAAAAGGGATTTTGATCAATGGCTACAGCTCTTTAAGTGTCATTAAAGGGTAGATTAGGGGCGCACGTGAAATTTGTATTCTGATAAAATTCTGCTTAAAACGTAATCTTACTCATGAAGCATCCACATAAATTTGCATGTGTAAATTGTTCCTCGATCGCTGATTGTGTTTTTCCGTAGTTCGTCCTTCGCCGTGTTCCTCCTTCCTGAAACCTAAAACCTAAAAATTTATCCCTCAATGTTACTCTGATTTTTGTTCATTTCAAGCAATACGTGTTAAATCTATGTGAATTTTGAGCTAACATAATCATCAAGACTTTGCGGCTGCTTTGTTGATTGAATCATATCAAAGACATTAAGCGTTTTAGAAGTTAAAGAATATTTCTAATGGTGGACAAACCTGTGCAGGGCCTGAAACAGTGTCTGACTGTAAAAAAGAGTATTCCAAAGTCTTTAGTGTGCACTAATCCTACACCATGTTCCAATATTAAACCGCGTGCCTACTCCAATTCTTCAAATTCCTAACTTAATTTCCTCCGGTACTCCACACAAAGAGATTTGGTCAGATCTACTGAAATATTTAAATCCAACTATTTTGTAACAGCTTATACTGCTCATGATTGCAAATGGGGGGGGGGGCACCAGGTTGGGCTAGAGGAAACCTGACTTTCCTGGCACAACGTCAAGACAGGTGAAATGAGCATTAATCAGTAAGTAAATCTGGCAGACCTACCTTTCTAAGTGATGACTAAACTAGACTTACTTTGATAGGTGGGTAAAAAAAATATGATTAAAATAGATTTTATTTTTAATCAGCTACCAGTATTATGCTGTCTCTCATTTAATGTGGTTCCAGTGAGTTTAAAGCATTTCAATTCACTTACATTAGTTACCTCCATGTTAAAATGAATGTGACACTGAGTAGCTAGTGGCAAAAAAGCTGGAAAAATGTATTTCTCACATTGTTACAGAAATAGAATTGCTACTGCCTCAGCAACAGCAACTGGCACTGTGATTGGACAGTGTGCTGACCAATGACATAGAATGATGGAGTTTGGTTTCATATACTGCAAATTTGAATCATCCACTAATCTTGCAGGAATGCTAATTAAGTTACTGATTAAACCCGACAGTAGTGTAAATAGTAAACACCAACATAATGGAAAAGTGACAACTTTACAGGAATAAGCCAGTTGTTCTGAAAGCGTAACTATTGCCCGGAGTCAGGACTTTGGGTATTGTAAATTTAAATATTTTAAGCAAAGGTCATTTGTAGCCAACATGTATATATAAAACCAAAGCTGGATAACTGAGCCAGGTGACTTTTCACTATTCAGCACTTTCATCACAAGAGTGTCAAGAGCACAACACAGATGACATCATCATCATCATCATGAATAATGATACATTTAACCACATACATTTCAGTGCTCTAGGGCTGTGAGCAGGTAGACCAGACCTCTTGGTATATTAGTTTACATTTTATTGAGGAAAAAAAATCCTGCAGGATAATCAAATTCTTTATTGACAGTTTTTAAAAAAAGAATCTAAAGCAAAGAATGGGAGGTGCATCTTCTGCTTGTAAAAATGGCCAATCAGAAGTCAGGTTCTTCGATGCAAAAAGAAAGAAAGTGCAGGAGGATTGGGATTCTCAAACAAGTGACGCCTGCAGCTCTGACGTGCCTTCGCCGGTGTTCAGTTTGGGTGCTTTCTGATCACACCTCGCAGAACATTCCACGTCGGCAGGTCTACCGGCTCCAGACGTTCTCCCAAGGACATTCAGGCCTTTACATACACGCCGGAGGAAAACAGCAGGAGCTCCAAGCATTAAGCACCATCATTATGTATCGTGGATGAAAACGGAGTGCAGAACTCGAAAACTGGTCAAACTGGCCGAGGCTGCGTGGGAGCCGCATGCCAGTTAAGCTACCTGGTTTGGGAAATCAGACACCCTCTTCCTGATGCGACAAGGAGGCCACTGAAACAGCCACTTCCATCACTGTCTGAACCAGCCAAGAGAAATACAGGAAAAGCCATCATGGATGAGGAAGCCAGAACGAGTTCATGACCTCATTTTTGGGGGCTCTGGCATTGTTGGTAAATAATACCCAGTTCTTGAAGTTTAAAAATATTTTCTGTTGATAATTTTCTTGTAGATGTCAGACTATCACTATAGTGATATAAAATGAAATTCAAAAAAAGCATTAACTGTGCTAAAGACAGCAAATATCTGTTTCAGTGTCACATGGTCAGTCCTGCGGTATTTTACAATTCCGCTTCTTCAGTTGAGCAGTCTGATGATTTTGTTGATGTCCTCACCCCTGGCACCCGTATTCCCAATATCACGCATCAAGCCAGCCTTATCCCTTGCTGCATGGCGCGCCACAGACAGTGGGAACGGCAACAAGTAGTTATTGACCACTCGAAAGTTCTTCCCAGTGGAGAATATCTCGTGGATGAGGTCTTCAAGGCAGATGATCCCACACTTCCCTGCAATAGAGAGCACATCATTTCAATCCCTATTTCTCTAACATTTATGGTTATTAAGTCTTAATAGTGTCCCATCGCCACCTGTAACAGCTTCACACATGAAATACTATACTTACCCAAATGTTCCTCAATGATGGCATTGTCTGTAAGAGGAGTCTCCTTATTGTTAATCCTGGTCTTTCCTCTCTTCAAAATCAGCTCACGTACTGACTTCAGGTTGGGGAATCTGTTGAGTTTAGGGAATCATCCGAGTAATTTTATATAAATTGTAAGGTAGTCATGAAATACTACTTATCCATCACAGAAGTCTTACAGAAATCTTACAGTTCACAAACACATTTACCATTTAAATCCATGTGCCCCACCTCTTCCTTCTCACTCATTTAATATTTAATGAGAATACACCCTTGATTAGTCCTATACTATTTTGCAGGTCACCGGTACAAACTTTAATAATGTAAGCAGCAGCTTTTTTTTTTTTTTTTAACTGACCAATCACAGAGCATGGAAAGAAAAAAAGGTGACCAGTGCACATCTGGCTGAGGGGCACATAAGCACCACATCCAAAAAAAGAAAAAAAAAACCTGCCTCGTATTTTCTTAAGCATAATCAGCATTGCACAACAAAAGACAGTTAAACAAAAAAAAAACTGCTGATTTTTACAGTTTATGGTATAGCATTTTTTTTTTTAACTACTTATATATTTTTTTAACTGCATTTGTTGTTCCGGATTAATTGTTCCATTCAATATTTAAAACTCAGCATTTCCACACTGAACATGAAAGAGCAGGTTTCACTACAAATAAACATTCTCATAAAGGAAAGGGAGACGGAATGTTTCAAGAACGTCTGATAAACCCAATGTTAAGGAACTTGCGTTCCTAGTTTAGTCTGGTTGTTTGTCTAGGGAAGAAACAAAGCATATTTAACCTGCACAAGCCAAAAACAACACAAAAAGCAGGCGTCAACGGTAGTCTTGTGACCACGGCTCCTCACCCCCAGGCCACATAGGGCTCCACAGCCTTCAGCATGCTCAAGGAAGTCCTGCTTATCTTAACGAAGGTGCCGCTGAATATCTTCCTCAGACGAAACATCTGGATAACTTTCCTGACTTCAAGACTGACGCCTTTGATTCTGCAGAAGGGACAGAGAGCGCCACGCCCAGCATGGACGCAGTGAGACCAAGGCCAACACGAGCAAAAACTCACAGAGCGTCCCCCTGACTCAGACACACTGCAGACGGAAGCAGCCCCGTTAAGAGACGTACTCTTTGATGCGGACTACGAAGGCCAGCCGGTTCTTGGCAGGAGGCAGGGCCGGGGGCCTCATGCGGCTGGCCAACCTCAAGCGAATGTCATCTCGGTGCTTTTGCTTGCCCTCATGCAGGAACTCCTCCAACCGCTTGAACCTCACAGGGCGACCACGCTGAATCTGAAATCAGGGATGTGCATTTCACACTAACCTTCAGTAGGGCAGAATAAAGTACGACAGATTCACTGCAACTCCAAACCCACCCAGAAAAACTGAACATACTTTCCCCTTGACTAGCCTTAAAAGTAGCACATTATTACTTCAATAATTTCATGTTTAAGGCGAACAGGTAACACTAAACTCTATAGAACAATAAGTCACCAAAAGTAAACTGAAGCTTTTTCAAAGTCATATACTTAATCCGGGATCAATACACTAAAATTCTAAATTTGCTGGCGTCTGCACAAAAAAAATGTCTCTAGATCAGCTCAATCGTTCATAACGTGGACACTTGCAGTGCAGCAACGTCAGCATTGACCACGTCACGTACCTTTCTCTTCTGCTGCAGCGCTAGCTTAGCTTCTGTAGCTTTGACTGCTTGATAAGCCTTCCTCCTCTTTAGAAGATTCTCTGGAACCAACTTAATAACCTTTTTCAAGCTAAAGTAGCCAGGCAAGAAGCAAAATAAAGTAAATTAAACGTCTGATAATAAGACAATCAAACTATGATTTGTATTACACAAAAACGGGACGCGAGAAATATTATAAGCCATGAATGAAACTAATGTTACTAATCGTTGTTTGACTTTATTACCAGATATTGTTATTCAAGGGACACTTGACGGTGGCAGCAATGAGACTGATTACAGTTAAATATTTAATAACAAATACGTTGTATCTGTTAAATACTGCTGTAAACTAAAACGGCTAAACAGTGTTAGACCATGCTTTGGAAATGAAGAATCAGAACCCAACCAGTAAGTACCTAAGACACGTGAAATGAGTTTGACTGTCTTGTAAAATTGCGCACAATATTGCGCTTATAAGAATCAAATCGCCAATATTAATTAGTGCTTCTAATATTTATCAGATAAATCACCCCTAAAATATAAGATGGACTGAGATTATAAAACAACCAAAACAGATACGTACTCTGACTCCGCCATTTTTTTAGGACTTCATGAACATCAGGTCGCACACTGGTGACGTATTTACTAAGGAAATCGACAGGAAGACGAATTGATGCCATCTACAGTATGGGAGGGAATGAGAACTCCCTTCAGATAGCGACTCGGGGTTAAGCTCATCTAAAAATGCATACATTATATGGTGTACAGTTGATATACATATATTGTTTTTATGATAGAGTTTCTGATTTGCTATAAAACAATTACCGCGAACGAAAAACATTGCAAATGAGTCTTTGTTTTTTACATCGTACTACTTTGCACAGATACAATGTATGAATGTCAAAGATCCGTTTGCCTTTCATGCATTATATATTAATTTTAACCAACATATAACTTACTGAGTTGAACAGTGATGATATCCGAATATATCTGTCTTGTCTGCACTAATATGCTGTGTGTATTAGTGAAAAAGTTGTATATTTGTTATAAACCAGCCTCAGTATTTCCCACAAATAACAAGTCAACGGTATTCTAGCTGACTTTATAAAATTCCTATTCATTATTCATTCGTCTGTACCTGGTTGTGGGGCATCACCAGTGTTTGTAGTTTGCAGATTCCGGCATAAGGTCTGCTGGGTCTAAATGTTGCATGGAAAACACCTATATATTGCATAACTAATAAGGACTGTTATTCACTTCTATATGTGGCAAATAAATACGACAATATCTTACCACAAGAAGTGCACATTTAGATAAATTAATCTGACTCCATCGATGAATACTATATCAACATCACTTATAGAAGACTTCATTTTTTAATAAAACAATTAGGTTATAAACATAGGCGAACTATACTGTACACTCAAGCAAAGATGTAGCAATTCATATGGTGCATGATGAAATACACTTTCCTCCATCACTGTTTATGGAACTACTATACACCATGCTGCATACCGCTTTCAAGTTTACCTTTCAAAACATTACATACATTCAGGAAATACAATCAGACGTGTACAGGAACATGTCATTTTTATTGACAAAAACTCCACTGTGAACATGCTACGTTTGAAGTTACACAAAAAAACAACATGGGGAAAAAATGTAAACATCAAAATCATGGGATCATGAGCATGAAATCAGGATTTCATTCTTGTTTGACACCTCTTTGTCGGGTCATCTACAAACCTATAAATAGTCTTGCGTTATGCATTGATACTTGGGTTACTTGTGAGAGTCAAAATGCATTTTGATCCATATTAGTAATATGGAAAGTTTCCGTCTACAAAATGATTGAATACGTCGTGTAGGATCGTGCTTTAAGTCGCTTCTGTCTGCGCATGCGTTTCCAGGGCATTATGTAATATACTCTACAACAAATGGTTAACTGGTAGTGCAAGGTGCTTACTGATCCAAACAACAGGCATCAATTCTTTTATTGATTGCGAAATTATGCCACTTCATAACAAGCAAATTTATGTTTACATCCAGTGGACGTGATAGCGACACTTTCTGTGATTTTAAGAAACACCATGAAGGAAGTCTGAAGAAATAAAAATTATTATTAACGATTTTCCATTTTTTGTTATTTTCTTATATTTTTTTATACTTTTTGTTATTGTCTTAAGAACAACGTGGCTGTGTGCCCTGCCCCCATTTTGTAAAAAAACCAATGCTCACTTACAGCATCCTGGCTTTGTCGTCTTCCCAATTTTGCCTTTGGGTAAATTAGTGGCCAGCTAGTGAAAACGCTTGAGAACCATCCAGGTGCAACGTGCATCACATGTGACCTGCTCGGGTCTTGACGGGTTAATGATCCGTGGGCGTTAACGTGACCGGCACCAAATGGGAGTATCGAATAGTAGGGGGTGTACTTTGTGCAAACTACTTCTGTCCTGTTTTGCAACTACAACCAACGTGAATGTCGTAAGATGTCTGTTCAATCCCCCCTCTACAATATCAGACATTTTTAATCGTGCTCTTGTTTACGCGCCACTACGGTGGCACTACGTTTTCATGCAAGCATCACTTCTAGTTGTCCATAGAAGATACTATTTGAACAGCCACAACACCAACTCAAACATAAAAACTCACAAGCGCATTTTTATGCGCCGCGAGCGAAACGCCTCGCAAGAGATTCGGCAGAGACTCCTCCCCCTTGGCGCGCGCCCTTGACTCCACAGAGCGTCATTGCGCGTGAGCGGTGCTGTCTTGTTTGTTTGTGTAGAGGGCGAAAAATGGCGGAGGGCAGAGACCCGAGCTAGAACTAGAGACACGAAACGTCAGCTCTTAACGTTCGTGACAGCTGGTAGGGGCCACTGCCCTGCGTCGAGTGCATCCCCGGTGCGTCCGCCGAACTCGGGTAGCGAAGGACGAGCGCATTGCGAGCGGAGCGGAGTTTTGGAGGAGCAGCTTTAGCTGGCATTACTACGGCTGCAGCGAGTACTGCCCACTAGCCGCTGAAGTGTCGGCAGCTAGCTGGCTGGCTAACTAGCCGCGGCTAACGCTTACGCGCTACTCTCGCGGCGTGCGCGTGAAAGCTGCGCTTTTTTTTCTCTCGCCGAGGGTAGGGAGTCCGTCCCCCGCGTCGTACATCTGGCGAGCGACCCGACGGGAAAGCCGAAAGGCGGACTCTGGCGTCGGGAGTTCGCACACGAATGTCTTCGTAAGTTCACCGTCCTGTCTTGCAGAGGATCACAGCGGCGACCCGAGAAGACAGGTAAGGCACATACCGCTCGCCTTTAGTCTGGCCGGCCGCTCTGCGATCTGTGACACTGCTGAGGAGATTTTTGGAAACGTGCACAGTTGCTCATTGAAATAAACGACAGCGAAAAACAACATTAAAATCCTAAAAAATCCTGGCCTACGGAAGACCAGGAAGCTAATTAGCGGCGGCCATGAAGCACACAGGTCCGGATAAAGAGAAAGTATGACCAGGTGTGAATCTCTCCACCTATTTGCCAGTATTATACCAAAATGTTCTATACCAATGAAGGTATTAACCTATTTAAGATATTCCTATTTTTTGGACCTTAAAGTTGTTCTACTGAAGCCCCGAGGAGCCAATAACATATCAAAATATATCGTAATGTAGCACAATGTTTCCATAGTCGTGATCTGCGGACTCCTGGGCAATAACTGCACTTTCTAAATGATTACTATTATTATTTTGAAGTATCGCTGGAGACCTACCAACTCGCAGACTAGTAATGTTGTATCACGTGTCTAGCATTTTTAGCACGTTTAACCAGGTCTACGCACGCCTACTCCTCCCCCCAGTTAACGTATTGACATCTGTCTAGATATTGACATACGAGTAGAGGTTGGTTGCTTGGATCGTCCTGCTGGCCGTGTCTGTAAACAAGCACTGACACTCTGAGATGCGCGCGTCGACGTCGTACTTCCATGCTTTGTGAAGTCCAAACGCTCTGTGGTGTGAAGTGATACTTGATGCACGTGTCCTTTGACTCGGTCCAGTTGGTGTTTTGTTTTTTTTTTTGGAAAATTTCTGAGACTCTTTTTCTTGCCCGTCGTCTATGGACGAGTTTCGGACTGGGTTTCGTTCATTTATGTAATTTGTTTGGGCCGTATATTACTAAATGTTGTTTTGTGAAACTTATTCGTGCACACATTTTACATGTTCTACTTAAATCTTGATTTTGATGTCGATTGTAAAAGGGCCATTCACACATTGCTCGATATTTGGGGTGAATTAGTCAATTACTGAATTGGTCAATTAGTTTTTTGGTTTTGTGCACTATGACGAATTGTAAATTGTTTCTAACCTCAAAAGAAGTTGCATATCTAAAAATGTTAAAATTAAAGTAATTCGATTCCGTGCCACTAAAATATTTGGACGGTTATTAGTGTTTGTATTTTGTGAAAATGAGATTCTGATATTAAGATCAGCGTTGTTTATATTTTTTCTATTGTTTATCTCAAAGGTAGAAACTGCAATTGCTTTTTAATAAAAGCATAATGCCAGTGTCTGGATTGGCCAGTGTCGATGTAGTACCTCCTTTATTGTGTATCTAATCGTATTTTAATCCATTGCATTGCTTCAATTAAGTATTGTTACAGATACTCTGGAGTTAAGCAGAATTCTTATCTCAGTTGTTTACTGTGTTCTCATTGGAATTATATTGTAATCACTTTAATGTCTGTTAACTTAAAGTCTGCAGCCATGCCCTCTTAACACGACCTTGGTGAAACTACTGATATTCATCTGTTACAATAATTAGCTTCACATTCTTGAGATTTTGCAAATATTCTTTTATTAGTATAGCCCTGTGTTGATCCTGTAGTATTTGGTACTGCCAGGCAGCACTTACATTCTGTGATCCAAAATGATTGTTTAAATGTCTTTGGCATGTATGTCTCTATAAAATCCTCATAAATGTGCCTGCATGTGTTGGAAAGGCATTCTTCCATTTGCACTGTATGCTACTGTAACGCATGCTGTTCACTGCATGTGCAATATTCCAGTTATCCATGTGCTTTGAATTGATGAAGGTTCTGCCAATTGACGTTTGTGTTTTACCATCTGCATATTGTCCTTTTTCGCTCATGATAGACCTTGACCACATGAAAATTTGGATGGTGGTCTGCTCTGGACCACTTGCTTTTGCACTTCTGAGTTCTGCATAAAATATGGTGAAAAAAAGATGCCAGAGCTCTGCCTGTGAGGGCCACAGCGGTGAAGGAAGGAGGGGGCATGTCGTTGTCCTCTGAGCTTGTGATGCCATTGGACGGGAGGCGGGTTTTGGGGAGGGGGATTTGACCCTGACAGGCCCCCTGTCCGGCGTGGACTGCAGCTGTGCAAGGCACATAGTCCTGCAGCTCCCAGCAGGCTGTGCAGCGCATCTGGGCCGCCCCAGTCGTCGGAGAGCTGACCTACATTCTCATCTCCCTGGAAAAAAAAGCTTGTGCAGCAGACAGAGAGAGAGAGAGTCCGTGCGCTTGCTTGTGACTTTTTTATTTAAAAATTCCCTTTTGTTTTGCACTAGCTGTAAATCTTATATCTGTTAGCATGCACCTTTGAGAGTAATCTCTGTATATTGGAATATAGCACTTCAGATCTCACCCCAAAAATTCAGTAGAACAGAATGTCTCCTTTCAATGTAGGTTCGCTCCAGTTTTCCAGCAGGTTGGAAACAGCTGCCTACTGTTTCTTTTTAGCTATGGTGTTTCTGATTTCCATGTCTTTCGTTTCCACCAGTGCAACGGAAAACTATTGGTCTGGGTGAAGGCGGCTGGCTGTCTTCTGCTGTCAGTTTACCATCAAATCAGTGCCTCTAACTGATTTTGAGCCTCTTTTTTTATGAATGACCCATAGTGCTAGCTGGAAGCCAGATGATAAAGCCAGATTTATTCACAGATAGCTGGATAACATGCTGCATTTGGGTCTTTGAGAATGACTGTGAACCAGCGTCCTGTTCAGGAGCTGGTGGAGTTTGCTGAAGATTGCTGCACCTTCAGTTTCAAGTAGTGCTGACGTGTGATTGGTTTCGGTGTGTTATTGGGGGGAGGAGGAGGAGGAGGAACCTTTAAAATGACAAATCAGGGATTGGTATCCACCATTTTGTGGGAGTGTACTGACAGCTTGGCAAATGTCAAATGACTAACAAGTGAATTGTTATGGAATACCAAGTTAGGAATAACAAGGACAGTCACCACAGGATTAAACCTTCAGAAATACACTACAAAAGAAATATGAGTTAAATCTTTTGTAGAAATAAATACAATAAAAGAAGTTTGTGGTTGTGTGTTTTGCTGGCAGGTGAAAATATGAAATCATGAGCATTTTAAGGTGTATGCTTTTATCTTCATTTACATTCTTAAATTTTTTTAAACATCCATTTTTTTCAATTATATGTGCTTACTTAGTAACAAAGCCACGAAAGGCTGGTTTTCGTTAACAACAGACTATTTGAACCAGCTGGGCTGAGAAGCAGGGAGCCTCGTCCAGAAGACTGTATTGGTGCCCACTAGAAGTAGTGTTTTGTTTAATTTCTCAGTTTCTCTTAGAGCTTCTTTAGTTTCAGCATTGTGCTTTTGTTTCTCTTAAAGGGCCAGTCTACCCTCTGCATCAGATTTTCTTTATAAAAGCCTTTTTGTTCTGTCTCCTTTGGTCCTGGTGCCTCCATTCCGCTTTGTGTGGCAATGCCATCCACACCAAGCAGCAGCAAACAAAACGAAACAGCAGAAAAATGTATATGCTGTCCTTTTATTGGGCATTTGAGTATTAATCTACCCAAAACAACATCAAACATAATGAAATACTCAAAAAATAAGTAAAATATACCAAATTCACAGGGGGAAATACTTCTGTATTTGCATATAAGGGTTGAATTTCAGCCTGTTTTACTTTTAAACATGTAATTTGTGTATCTGTATATTTATTTGCCAATTTTCTCTACTGTAAAAAAGGCTAAAATTAAATTTCCCTGCAGCAGTCAAATGAAATATATTGCTTAGCAATACAGCAGCAGATCCTCCCTTGGGACTCGAACTCCCAATGTTTAAAATGTCCGACAACAGATATTTAACTTTGCAAATATAAGATATTTTAGTCATTTTCAGAGTAGTAAATAGTTACACAACACTCCTTATTACTTTGAAAAGGGTCTGTAATATATTCATACAAATATATGATTTGAAAAGCTTATTTGCCTGATGTAGAAGAGTTTGTCCTTGTGAGTGTATGAGACTGTCATCTAGTGAAATCCATGCATAAATAGCATTACATATAATATTCTGTATGGATCAAGAACCTTAAGGGCTTACGGTTCCTTCTAGAGTTAAGTATTGCAGACGCAGTAGTCAGCGGTTCATCTGATAATGTGACTTTAGTTTGTTGAAATGACTGGAAGGTTTCTTTGCAACTAGAAGCTGTTCATGCACTGCATGCTTGGTTTTCTTCCTTCTGCCTTCTCTGGAGATACTGTAGCTCTTGTAATGTTCATTGGCATCATGTGGGAGTCAAGCCACAAAACGTGCTAGCTGATAAGTTCGTAGGTTGCCTTCCTTTCTTTAAATTCCTGTCATTTTTTTTGTTATCTGCAAGACTTGTTATCATTTTAGATTACTTTACAAAAAAATCCCTCAAGGACTTTGAAGCTCCCTTTATCAACCCTCCCACCCCCATCTACAAGGACACAATTACTCCATGGTGAACTGGCTGGGTCAGACTCACCCCTGTGCACCATCATGGCTGCTCTGGGCTCATTTCTGTACTATTGGCTCATAGTATGCTCCTGTCGTGTCCTGGTTTCATTGCTGAAGGATGGGGACTTTTATTGGATGCTGTTCTCTTTTACTTTCCGATACCTTGGAGTCAATGGGACTGACGCTTCTTTGGGCTTATGCTTGCCACCTGACAGCAGAAATGAGCTTGAATTCAACACTGGGACATTAACACGTGACATGAAGTTGGCATTGTGCCTTTTGAAGATGTCAAAGATAGAGGCTTGTTGCATCTTCATGAAGTCTTGGTGGTTTTCGCATACTTGGTGTTTATGCAATGCTTTTGTGCAGCATTTTTCATTCTCTGACATTGCGACCACCACGGCCCCAAATCCCAACACAGCTTATTCAGCACTGTCTGTGTGCTTGTTGGGGGGGCTATGTGTACTTTATCCTGTGTGTTTGGCATGATGTTCAGCAATGTGGGGGCGCAGCATGCTTCCTATCCAGCAAACACAGATGCAGATCAACTTG